GCAGCCAACACCGCCTCCTGCTCTGGCAATAGCCGGAAACATCTGCACCGCTGAAGCCTCACGGAGATAGATTTTGGCTGGGTCAGTGAGACCTATTTTGATTGGACCACAAGACAGGAAATTTAAGAGTCAGGATGACACAGATCTGCAAGATGATGGTAATGTGTGTGAGATGCAGTTGGAGCTGCTGTGCGGATGTGGCCCATCCAGCCCCTGGGGGTCGGGTGCCTGTGGCCTGCATAGCCCGGAGCAGCATCCGGCAGCCAAGAGGGCACCTCTGGCCTAGCTGGAGTCAAGAAGGAATGTGGCCGTGTGCTTTAGATGTGAGGTTTCAGAGGACGCCGGGTCTCGGAAGTCACACTCACGCCCTCATCCCGAAGCTCCTACCGCCTCCAGAACATGCACCCCTCTCATTTGCTCTAGGAATTTCCACCCTCAGCCCGGGGCTGCTGGGCTCTGCAGGGCGGGCACTGGCCTGTTGTGGGTATGAGAAGCCTGGCGACTTTGTGCCAGACCCTCGCATATCACAGCCCCTGCAGGCTCCTGCCATGTACTCTCTTCCTCACCTGTCCCTGCCCACGGTGTGGAGCATGCAGGACGTCCTCTGAAGCCCGAGTGGGGGTCTAGGAAGGTCATCTTGTGGAGGAATGCCCAGTGGGTGCCTGAGCCAGGTGGAGGGACAAGGCCCACCCCCTCCTGTGCCACAGTCTCCAGCCTGCCCCCTCTAACTGCCCCCTGCAGCTTTCAGAGCAAAGCCTCTGTGCTTCTAAAAAGCCCCTATGCGCAGAGACTTTTTAGGGCAGTGCAGCTCTTCTGATACTACATTGGCAGGTCCTGGTCATCCTAAATCGTCCAAACCCACAGAATGTGGCCACTGAGGCTGAGTGTGACGTAGAGTATGGACTCCGGGCGACTGCAATGTCCCAGAGTGGGTCATCCATTGTACCAGATGTCCCGTCCCGGCTCAGGATGTTGACGGTGGGGGAGGCTGTGCCTGTGTGGGGAGGGAATATGGAAATTCTGTACCTTCCCCTCCGTTGGCTGTGACCCTGAAGCTACTCTAAGAAATGTCTATGAGAAAGAAAAATTCTCACCCCATCCTGCTGCCCTTTAAGTTGAACTCAGACTCCTCCTTGGGGCCAGCTGGGGTGGCAGCCCCACCTACCTCGCCTGCCCCCACCATGTGCCCATTGCCCCCTCCAGCAAGCGTGCCAGGCCTCTTACCTCCCATGTCTGTAACTCCCAGCTCTTAATGTTCAGGACGCCCACCTCACTTGCCCCACCAAACTCCTCTGATCCATTCCCCTCCGAGCCATGCCAACCTCTCCAGGGACTGGCACCTCTTGGCCACCTGGGTGATGTTCCCAGGCCACCGAACCGCCCTCTGTTTACTGCCATCAGCCTGGCCCATGCTGCTCACTGGACGCTGGGCTGTCTCCTCCTCCCGGCAGTCCGATCCCTCAGCTCTGCAGTCTGACTAGCATACAGCAGGTGCTCAATGCGTGTGCATGGCTAGGCCTGCCTCACACTTCCGGGTATGGGCCTCATCTTCCACCCACATATCCTAAACCCTTTCAAGGTAAAGGCAGAGTTGGGGGGACCTCACAGAACACCCGAGTATTCGCTGCATGGCAGGGAGCCACGGCAGGGCGGCACCGGTTCCGCTGCAGCCACAGGTCTCCCCGGCAGGAAGGCAGGAAGCTGTGACGCCTCAGCCACTCCGGGCTGAACAAGGCACATATGTTCCTCTCACCTTTGTGAAGAGGCAAGTCATACCAACAAAATGGTGGCATGTCTGGGGCCCCTGGGTGGGCAGCAATTTGGTGGGATGAGACCTTTCTGCCTGTCCCTGGGGTCCCCTCTGAGCTGTGCCAACCTCTCCAGGGACAAACACCTCTTGGCCACCAGGGTGCTGTTCCCAGGCCACCAAACTGCCCTCTGCTCACCACCATCAGCCTGGTCCATGCTGTCCCCTGAACCCTGAGCTGTCTCCTCACCAGCCTGGACAACATAGCAAGACCCCATCTCTAAAAATATTAAACAAATACACATTGGCCAGGCCTGGTGGCACTGAACTAAAAACATAGACCATTTTCTTAGAGCAGTTTTAGCTTATCACCACATACATGCTGCTGGTGAGGGATGCCTCTCCACTTTGGGGTGAGGGGTCCCTAGCTAACATAAGGGTAAAAATTTACTGTGACAGAAGCTGCAAATCGGGGACCGCAGACTAAATGTGACCTACATCACTGGGTTTGACCTGTTCTGTGTTTCGAAAGTTTTAAATTTTTTGTAAAGGTATAATTATATAAAGTGCATGGACCTTAAGCCTATGGTGTGATGAGTTTGGGCAAATGTCTGCTGCAGACCCCCATACGGCCCACGCCCTGGTCCCGAGGGGGGACATCTGCCACTATCCTGGACGCCTCCTTCTTGTCCCTTTTCAGTCTACCAAAACTTCCCCTCCCACAGCCCCAGGATGCCCACACCATTCTAACCTCCACCTCCAGAGAAGATTTCTCTGTCTGTGCTTGAACTTCCTCTAAGTGGAACTGCGCAGCACACGCCCTATTGCTTCTCTAGTGTCACAGGCTCCGAGGCCCATCCGCGTTCTTGCATGCACTGCAGCCCATTCCTTTTGAGTGCAGGGCAGCACACAGTCAAGCGATTGTGCTGCCATCTGCTTTCCCACTCTCCCCTTTTCACTGATTATTTTTAGAGTCAGGGTGTTGCTCTGTCTCCCAAACTGGAGGGCAGTTGCAAGATCATATCTCACTGTAGCCTTGATTCCTGGGCCCAAGTGAGTAACTAGGACTACAGGCATGTGCCACCGATAATAATAATTTTTAATTATTATTTTTAGAGATAAGAGCTTGCTATGTTGCCCAGGTTGGTCTCGAACTCCTGAGCTGAAGCGAGTCTTCCGCCTTGGCCTCCTGAAGTGCTGGGATGACAGGTGTGAGTGACCAGGCCGGCCGCATTCTCCTCTTGATACGCATTTGAGTTGTTGCAGTTAGTTTGCTCTCATAAACAAAGCTGCTATGAACGCCTTGGTGCAGGTCATTTTGTGGACACGCTTTTTTCCTGTATATGGGGTCAGTTACCACAAGTGGAATTTCTGGGCTGGAGGAGGAAGTGTACATGCTTACAAAGGTTTTAAGTTAGTCTGAAGTATTTAAAACTGGGGGAGTCCGCATGAAAGTCTAGAGGTCTGTCTTCTTTTGGGAAGACCAGGTGTGGCCTGCACTCCTGTGTCACCTTCTGGGCTGATTGGTCCCTTAGCTTGCAGAGTGTCAGGGTGGACCTCATCCCATCCCATTCCTAGACATGTCACCTCCACTGCTCCTTCCTCCCAGACTGGGGCTGCAGTGCCACAAGTGGATCCCCGGCTGCAGGGTGTGGGTTTACAGTGGCTTGTCAAATGCAGAGGGCACCCCTGACCCCCCTCAGCACCCTCACTGGGAGCACCAACGAGCCAATTTGAAGTTGGGATTGAGACAGAGGAAGGGGGATTCCTGATTTATTTTTTTTCCTGACTCAACGCAACAAGTTTTAGTAAGTTCCAAGTGAAATGCTTCCTTTTCTAGGCCCCCACTATTCAAAGTTGTGGGAGGATTTTTAATTTGGTTCAGTCTTAATATGCTGCAGATACACAGATTTTAATCTTCTTTTATTAAAAATAAATCCACCCTCCTCGCCTGGGTCTCTTGTGTAAATATCTAATTAGGGCAGAAGCTTGGCCCGGCCCAACAGGGGTGTGTCGATGTCCCCCTCGACACATACGCCTCCCTTTGAAGAAACAGACTTCAAAGAATTGCCCCCATCTTCTGAAGAATGTTAATTGGGCCAAACAATGTGCATGCGTTATTTATAGCTGCTCCTCCGGTTATTTGGGAGACTGTTTGAGCCCAAATTGCAAGTAAGGAGAGAACGCTCCACATTTTCTAACTTAGAGAAGCTGCTTCACAGCCTCCTTGGACACCCCAGCCGTGAAGGGATGCACCCCCTGTGGGTGCCTGGAGGGGACTTGGGGGGCCAGGGCCCCTGCTAAAGCCCTGGTCCTCCTCAGACTTGCTAGGATGGTACATCTCCTGCTTTGCCAGCCAATCTGGAGGCGAGAGTAGTTTCCCACCAACCTCCAGCCTGAATGCTGCTGGATCCAATAACAAGGGACATCCCAGGCAGAGCCGACTGCAGATCGATCATGGACATTATGTGCTGAGTGATTTCACAGCCCCTTGTCTTACATTCAGCCAATCTGGGAAGGAGGACCAGAATCTTCTAGAACAGAGATGACCACGACGCAGAGAGGAAAGGCAATTTGGCCTGAGGCAAGAGAAGGGCAGTGGCAGGGGCACGTGGGGTCTTGTCTAAGTCTGCGGTAGCCCCCAGCACACACACATGCATGCATTCAACTACTTACTGGCACCTACTTTCGTTCACAGGTGAACACAACAAACACAGCCCTGCGTTTGGAAAACGTTCTCTACACACTGTCTTAGTCAGCTCAGGCTGCTGTAACGAAATATCTTAGATTGGGTGGCTTAAAAACAGCAGAAGCTTCTCACAGTTCTGGAAGCTGAGAGGTTCAGGATAAAAGCGCCAGCAGACATGGTGTCTGGGGAGGGCCCTCTGCCTGTTCAGGGACCTTTTTGCTGTGTCCTCAGCCAACAGACCTCCTGGAGCCTATTTGGTAAGGGCACTAATCCCATTCAAGAGGGCTCCACCTTCATGACCTGATCACCTCCCAATGCTCCGCCTCCTCAACCCAGCACTTTGGTGATCAGAATTCAATATATAAACCTGGGGGGGACACAGACATTCAGATCATAACACATCCCTCCTGTCTACCATGCGACCGTTTATAGGATTGCTTTCCTCAGCAGGTAGGTGCTGCTTCTTAAAGCTGCTGTGCATCAAACTCCTTTCTACCAGCAGCACGCAGTGGCGCTCAAAGATAGGATCCTGCCTCCATTCCTAGATCATCCCAACAAGTTTCCTAATAGAGATCCTCCCTGCTGTCTGTTCCGACCGCACACTTTGTGAGCTCCACTCACGACTTTGGAGAACATTTTCTTTGCCACCCTCAACCCAGCTAACCGATGAGTTTCCATTTGGTAAAGCTACACACTTGCGGTAATATAGTTTCAGGGTTATGTTTTTTCTTTATTGATGTTCTGTTGGTAAACTACAATCAACACTATGTAATTATAGAAAATTATAATGCAGCACAGCAGTAACCCAAAAAGCTCCCCTCTGGCAATATTATTAAGTAGATACTCTTCTCTTTAATAGAAGTTTCATGCCAATTTCATAACGTGGTTTGCTCTCACACTGGGAAGCATTATGGCGCTCGTGAATTTTTAAAGAAACACTGATTTTAGTGACCAGAAGCCATGAATAGAAATGTGTTTATTTGTTCAACAAATATTTACTGAGTGTCTTCGGGACACAGAGCCGGGAAGGAGGCCTTGTTTAATTAACAAGATTTGACAGCCTTGCTGCCTTCAGGGGACCTCTTCTCTAACTGGGTGACCACACTCCCCTGCAAAAGACTTCAGTGGGTTCAAGGCAGGGTTGTGGGGAGTGACTGGTGCCAACCACTGAACGTTTGCTGGACTCCTTGTATTTGTCATAGGTATCCTGAGTGCTGAATATGCCACTGGGGCTAGCCCCCATCTCTGCTCTTGTAAAGCTCCTGAGGACGGGAAATGATGCCTCGTCCATGACTAGCAAGGAGCAGGTGCACCTTAATGACTCCTGAGCTGAGCAGAAGCCCAGGAAGTCAACAGCTTAAGAACAACAGAAGCTTCTCACAGTTCTGGAAGCTGTCGGGACAAAGCTGATGGCATGGGCCTCTCTCCCAAGGCTGGGGTGCCTCGCTGCCATGGTGAGGAGCTTCATCTGGGGCTTCTCAGCAAAGCAAGGGTAGCACATAATGCTGAATGTTTACCAGCTCAGGCTCATGGGGAGGATGGGCCGGACCTCACAGGCACAGGGCAAGAAGTTTGGTTTACTGGCCGGGAAGTTGCTGTACTGTTGAGTGACCACAGGGTCAGAGCTAACCTGGAACATTTAACTGTCCTAAAATCACCTTTGAGTTTAAAATCACCCTTGAGAAGAGCCCCGACACAGAAGACAGGTGGACTTGGGTTCACACCTGAGCTCTCCATCTTGTTACCCCAGGCAAGTCACTTGTCTCTTAAAGGTTCTTCCCGCCTCTGATCTTGAGACAGTTTCCGCCTTTAGGACCAGTGAGGACACAGGTGGACTCTCTGGCCCAGGTTCCGCTCTGAGCTGGTGGGACGGGGACAGTGAGAGCCACATTCCAGGTGTTTAGGGCACTGCCTGTGAACTGGCACGTGTGAGGCACCCACAGTTGCTGAGCGCGGCTGGGCACCAGCCATGGTACCCTCCTGGGGCAGAGGGGAGAGCCCTAGGATGCCCACAGCCCAATCGGACAGACAGAGGAAGCATAGACAGGCGTGTCCTAAAAGAAAATTCTAGTGAAATGGTATTATAACTTCACATTTTATAGACTCAACTTAGCACCTGAATTTGAAAGCATTAGGGATCCAGGAGGGGCAGGTGGGGGAGGGCTGGGGGCGGGCAGGGCCCCCCCACGATTCCGCGCATGCGCCAGGCTTGAAGTTTGGGTGCTATGCCAGCAGTGACCAGCAGGTGGCGCCATCGGGAAGCCACAGGACTGTCCCCTGAGCACCTGCCTGGTGCGCCCAGGCCATGCTCAGAACATTCCTAACTCGCGCCTCCTCCAAGGTCTCCCAGTCACCCAACCAGCATCCTTCCAGGATCACTCTAGAAACGTAGCTTCTGGTCCCTGCACTCCCTTAAATAACCACTTCTCCAAAGCCCAGGCAAACATTTGCTCTGAAATAGTTTTTCCTCTCCATTCACTCACCGTGTTACAGTGATTGATTAGGAGCTAGCACTGTAAGTCATCTGGATTCCCAGTAGTCACCCTCACACCCCTGTCCCAGCTGGAATTTTACAATCTGCGGGTCTGTTATCTCTACCCTAGTCAACAAATTTAACACCCAAATGGAATTTCCTTGCCTGGAATGAGAAAGAGAAAATTACCCATCAAACAGTATGCCACGTTCAGGAAATTGGCTTTCTTCCCAAGGAATCGATTCTTCCATCCGTATTAAAATTAATTATTCTGGAGACTATAACTCAAAGTATGTACAAATGAAGTGTCGTGCTTAGGACAGGAGTGGCAATTCAAGAAGATGGGTGGCTCCTGGGACACGGACATTCTGCCTGCCTTCTGCTTAACGGATGGGTTCCCAGCTGTTTAAAAAACCAGGGTTTGATGTTTGTGGCTGGGGATCTAAAGTTGAGAGGGGAAGGAAGGAGGAGAGAGAAAAAGAGGCAGGGAGGCCTGGGCTGGGGACGGCATGATCTCTTCCCTGACATGGTGGTGACGGTATCTGTGCCCCGGCAAAGGGAGAAGCTCTTGTATTTATCAGGTGAGGAAGAATGTTCCCCAAACCCAGCCATTCTCTGCTGCCTTTAGCAAAGGCTGGGCACACCTCGACCACTGGGCTTCAGAGCCCCCGGGCTCTGCCATCTTCTGTGTGTGGGGGTACAAGTGTATACTTGGCCACCTGTAAAATGGGAAGCCATCTCTGGTGTGGGAACAGAGGGGCAATAACCCCCCCAGGGTATCCAGGCTGGAAGAGTTGGGGACAAATTGACCTGGTTTACGCCAGCAAAGGGCCTGGCACCCAGGGGCGGCCCAGAAGCACTTGAGAGATGAATGAGTGAGTGAATGAATGAATGACCCTCATCACTGTGGGATGTTTTATAAATCGGGTGACTGTACGCCCCAGTTTGCTCCGGACCAGCTCAGCTCACATTCATTGCTCAGTGTAATGATCAGTCTTGCCTGTGGACCTGGGCTCACACCTGGACTCTCTCTCATAAGGGTCAGGGCTTGGGCAGTGATTCATATGTCCCCCTGACTACTGGCTGTGGAGGGAGGCAGGTGAGGCCACCACACAGAAACAAGAGAGATTTTGTTGTCTTAATATGAAATCCGACTACAATAATGTGCTAAATAAATTTCCCCCATTTCACTGGTGATATTTAAACAATAAAGGAGTTGGGAAAGCCCGTGTTTTGCAACCTAAACGGCCCAATTCTTTTCGGCATCTCTCAAAGCATGGCCGTTCTCTTAGCAGTACAGACACTGGAAAGAGCCTGGGCCACAAGTTCAGGACGACCCGAGCTCCAGGCCACCAGTCATGTATAAAATGAGCCCAATAGTGACCTTGCTGCTCCTCGGGGGAAGCTCCGTAGGGAAGAAGCGTGCCCTTGGCACTGGCTGGCACACAGGGAGCTTTTGCAACTGTCAGCTCCGTGCCCTGAAGCAGGGGCCAAGGCGCACAGAACCTGCCGCACCCTTCAGCTCTCCCCGAGTTGTTCACGAATGCCAGAAAACATCTCTGATTTCTCAGGAAGTAATGGAACATCAAGCTCATCTGCTGTTGATGTTTGCCCTTTCTGGAATGTATATAAACACTTTAAACTATGTTGGCTCAAAGGCAACCAAATGAGAACGCAACAAAATCAATTTTATTTCTCTTATTATACACTGACGTTCCCAGGCAGGCGATGGAAATCTAAAGGGGACCGGCATTATCAGTTCCGAAGATGCAAATCTCCAGAAAGAGCAGGTCGCTGAACAGTGAGACCGCCTGGACGCTGCAGCTCATGGCTGCCAGGAGAAAAGGTGCTCCTGTGGTCTGTGGTGACGGCCAGCACCATGGTGCAGGTGACACTGTAGCCTTGAGCACTGAGTTTCCAAGCAGCCCCTGACGGACCAGGTGCCCTCCTGGTAAGATCTGCAGGGGACAAGGTAGCCCAGTCCCAGCCAGTAGAGACTCCTCTCTGTCGTTCTGTCACTTCCGGGGTTTAGCACTGGGCACTGAACTCACGCAGGTTTGTCGGTTGATGGGCTGGCTGCATTCATAACTGACGGGAGCAGGGCCCTCGCAGGATGAAGATGCAGGCCGGCTGCCTGGAGGCTGCGGCGCATTTGGCTGATGTGCTTCTGAGAAAGGGCCAGCAGCTCTGTGCTTCCTGTGCCTCTGCTCCTGCATCTCCCACTTCTCACATCCTTGACTCCACCGGCGTTAGTACAACAGGTTCTGGGAGGTTGTGACTTGCAGGAGTTGAGAAAGGCCAGGTGTGTCAGGCTTCTTCCCATACTGAAACCAAAGGCGGGATGCTCTACTAGCCGGGTTGGCTGTCTCCCAGGAAACGCACCCCCAACTCCAGAATCCCCTGACCTACTAGAATGAAGAGGACATGGATCAACCGGGTTGAGAAACCCAGCACTGGCTCTTTGACCTTATCCCTGGCTACTGAAATTTTTGCTAAGAATCTCTAAGACATCTCTTGATGGGAGGCTTTTTCAGGTCCAGAGAGAGCTCAGCATCCCAGGGGCTTTATCTCACCTTCCAAAACCTCCAGCAGGAAGCCAGAGGTGCAGCGTGAATGCCCTGAGGCTGCAAAGGCTCCTGAAGGAAGGGAGGGAGGGAGGGAGGGAGGGAGGAATGCAGGGAGGGAGGGTAGGAGGCAAGGAGGGAGGGAGGGGGATGAGGTCGGAGGAGCCAGCAGGGCTGCAGAGAGATGGTGGATGCACTGCCTCCCTTGGGCAGTTTTCCCTGGGGCATGTACCCTGGCCAGGGCACTCTGCAGGCTGGCATACGAGAGATGCCTTCTTCCTGGAGGAAGCTGACTACCACCCCCAATGCAACCTCTGTAAACAGCAGGGGTGATGAGAAGCTCGGAGTTCCATCCCTGAGTCGGTACTGGGATGTGGGAGGGTTTATTAATGTAGGAGCGAGGTGTGCGAGGCAGAAGGTGCCCCCTTATTTCAGAGACAATCATGTACAGAAGCCGAGCAAGTTGTGCAGATGAGCAAAAGTCAAGATGCAGATGCGGATCAGGACGTAATGTCTTCATGGCGGGAAAGCTCTGCAGAACACATCTGATCTCACAGCAGCTCTCTGAGACAGTACAAGGCTCTCACGTTGCCTGCCTTCCAGCTGTGCACACTGAAGATCAGAGAGGTTAAGCAACCTGCCCAAGGCTGCTCAGCTGGTAAAATGGCAGAGCCTGAATTCAAATCCCAGCCGGCTGAAAGCAACCAGACTTCATAAACCCCCATTTCCAGAGTCATAGCTCATGGGACCTGGGAATGATTCTGAAACATTGTAACAAGCATGGGGAGCAGGAGACCCTATCTAAACAGACAAACATCCCTTTTCAGGACATATGGACACACATTTTGTAAATTCCCAAAATCCATTGTAAATATTTACTTTATTTAACTCCTCCCCGGTCCAAATAATATCCACGGATTATTTTGGCACTAACAGAAGTTAACACTGTGTGGTTTATGGATTCTAAACATCTCCACTCAGAACCTCGTTTTATTTCTGTCCTACCTGGAAAAACCCTTGCGTCATTAAAATAGGTGCTTCATAAATATTTGTCCAAGGAGTGAACGAACTAGCCAAAAGGTTTATGAAAAAAGATTGGAGCCGAGCAGTATTTTTCCCCAACCAAGGTCTCTATAAACACTCAGCCACATCCCCTCAAATATTTATCAGTGTAGAGCCACAGAATTGTATGTCTTTTGATAGACAACCCCTTGCTTGGTTACTTTAAAAAAAGAGCGAGAGAAGAAACGTCAAAGTAAATAAATGTCACAGTCTGCTAGAAAATCAGGTAATAGGAAAATAGGAAACAGGCAGTGAGAATTTGAGCTTCTTCAATTGTGCTGAGAAATGTTCAGGTCAAATAAGAGTTGACCTGACTAGGAGCCGTGAAGTTGTACCTGAGCTGTATCAAACTCTGGTGTCGCTTTTAAACAAAGAGCACCCTTTTATTTGAACTTCAATGACAATGAGGAGGTTGGAAAGAGGAGAGAGAATGCTTGTATGGCAGAGCCATGACAGAAATACTTTTCTTCTGGTAAAAGAGTCTTTTGTGGGACTTGACACCATCTCTGGGGTACAGGAAAGGCCCCTTCATTTACCAGAACTATGCTTTCTCTATTCTCCTATCCTCCCACATGTTTATGGGTCTCCTTTCTGCTGTACCCCAGGTCTGGCAGAGTCAGGTAAACAAAGACAAAGGACATGATCCCTGCACTCAGCCATCCTCCAGCTCCACATGGTGAAGTTTTCAATAAAGACAACTCTGTATCAACATAGCACAAGCACAGTTTGATCCCTCATTTTTAGTTAGAAACCAAGTAAAACACAGTTCAGCAAGCATGAAAGACTGTAAACCTCCTAAACTCTATTTAGTTCCAACAGGAAACAGACCTAATTAAGCAATGATGTTCCTTCCCTCCCTCCCTCCCTCCCTCCCTTCCTTCCTTCCTTCCTTCCTTCCCTCCCTTTCTTTTTTCTTTCTTTCTTTTTTTGACAGAGTCTCACTTTGTCACCAGGCTGGAGTACAGTGGTGCGACCTCAGCTCACTGCAATCTCCGAGTCTCAGGTTCAAGCGATTCTCCTGCCTCAGCCTCCCCAGTAGCTGATACTGTAGGTGCGCACCACCACGCCCCAGCTATTTTTTGTATTTTTAGTAGAGACGGGGTTTCACCATGTTGGCCAGGCTGGTCTCGATCTCTTGACCTCGCGATCCACCTGCCTCGGCCTCCCAAAGTGCTGGGATTACAGGCATGAGCCACCTCGCCCGGCCTTAAGTAATGTTTTTCAAGTCAATGTTAAGTACCTAAGAGGCACCCAGAAATTGATTAGGTGTACAATTCCTGTGCTCAGACTAAAACTTCTCTGAGAAAATCTGCCTCCTCGCTGTTCTGGGAAACCTCCAGGGACCCTGAGGTTGCCAATGCCAATTGCGGTCAGAACTTCAGGTGAAAGTGGAGGCAGCAGGTTGGTCTCAGGAACCCACAATGGTGTCAGTCATGCCTCAAGACCTTCAGTGGGAATGGGTCATCAGCCACCTGCAAACAATGCAGTACTAGGGGTTGCACAGTGTCTCCCAAATTCATGACCATCTGGAACCTCAGAATGTGACCTTATTTGGAACTAGGGTCATTGCAGGTGTGATTAGTTAAGATGAAGTCCTCATGCATTAGGGTGGACTATAAATCCAATGGCTGGTGTTTTTATAAGAGGAGGCGACACACACACGTATACCGAGAGGAAGGCCACGTGAAGACAGAGGTGGAGGCTGCAGAGAGGCAGCCATCAGCCAGGGAACGCTAGGGACTGCGGGAGCCAATGGATGCTGGAGGAGAGAAGGGAGGATCTCTCCCAGAGCCTTTAAAGAGAGCAACGCCCTGCCGAGGTCTTGGCTTCAGACTTGCAGCCTCCAGAGCTGTGGGACCACCGTCTCTATTGCTTAAAGCCAGTACGTTTCTAGTAATTTCTTTCTTTCTTTCTTTTTTTTTTTTTTTTTAAATTTCTGGTGATTTCTTACAGCAGCCATAGGAAACTCAAACAGGCCGAGCTATGAAAAATGTGAAGAGACTTCTCAAATGCTGCTTCTAGTTCCCTGTCTGTCCATCTTCCGCTTCGTTGGCCATGGATCCTTCCAGATCCTTCTAGAGTTTCCTTCCCCCTCATCTCTCACATCCGTTCCTCACCAAGCTCTGCCACATTCCTCTCTCAGCCAAGCTTCACTCCTTTCCTTTCTTTCTCTTCAGCCCTGAAGCTTCCTCACCTCTCCGGGCGGTTGAGAGGATTAGGGGAGAAAGAATGGGGAGCAGTGCCCAGGATGACTCTAGGAGCACACTGAGGAGTCAGTAACAGCCGCCCAGCTGCGACTCACGGCCGGCCTGCCCAGCGTCCTCCATCTGCCCCACACCCCATCACCAGACTGAGGGTCCCTGGGCACCCCCATCTGTCACCTGTTCAGGGACACCCAGAGGTGCCCAGCAGCAGCTCCCACACTCTGCTATTGTCTTAGCACCTTCACAAGCCTTATCATTTCACTCATCCATTTTTTTTAAACATCAAATACGTTATGTTAAAACTCTTTGTCGTTAGTATAAATAGGAGGCTGAGTATCACCGTGAAGATGGGGAAGACAGGCTATGAGTTTCCTGGCTTGCCCTGTGGAAGGCTCTTGGGCTAGAGCCTGCTGTCTCTTTGTTAGAAAGGTAGATGAGCAGGGTTAGATGGATGTCAAGGCCACACCAGCCCCACTCTGAGCCTTTCTCTCTGGGTATAAGCAAGGTTGGAAGAGAACGAAGACAGGAAGGAGTCTCTCCCTTTATGATGCAGTGTTTTTCACTGCTATGCTCAGTCTCTATCTAGAATCATCTCAGGACTTTTGTGCATCAGAAGACACGTCAGCAGAGTGAAAAGATGACCTACAGAATGGGAAAACGTATTTTCAAATTATGTATCTGATAAGGATGTAGTAGCAAGAAGACATAAAGTACTCCTACAACTCAACAACAAAAAGACAAATAACCCCCCAAAATAGGCAAAGGACTCAAATACACAGTTCTCCAAAGAAGACATACAAAGAGCCAGAAAGTAGATGAAAAGATGCTCACCATCACTATTCATTAAAAAAATGCAAACCGGCAGAGAGATCCAAGATGGCTGATCACTAGCAGCTCAGGATTGTAGCTCCCAGTGAAAGCGCAGAGAATGAGAGGACGCCGCACTTGCAGACGAATTTTTGTTGCTCACGCACCAGGAGATTCCCAGTGGAGGAGCCCCACGGTCGCCAGCGTGACTCTTGTGGCTGGCACCCTGCGCAGCAGTTCTCGGTGCAGAGTAAACAGGACTGGGTCCCGTTTAGGTTGACGTTTGGAGCTCCGGGAAGGCAGAGTCGCCTATTCAGCTAATAGAAAAAGGGACTCAAGAGGGAAGCCAGACCGGTGATTCCTGGGCAGAAAAGCACCAAGAATCTTAACGCTGCTGTTTTAGCCAGCGCAGTGGGTTGCTCGCATTCTGGCGCTGGAATCAACAAGTTGGACGTCCACTCAGAGAACTAATTTGAAAGTCGATAATTACAAAGACGACAGGTGGATAAATTTACAATGAAGGGAAGAAACCAGCCTAAAAAGGCTGAGAATACTCACAATCAGAATGCCTCTCCCTCTACAGGGGATCACAGTTCCTCATCAACCAGGGACCAAGGCCTGATGGAGAATGAGTGCGTTCCAGTAACAGAATTAGGCTTCAGAAGGTGGATAATAAGAAACTTCTGTGAGTTAAAAGAACATGTTCTAGCCCAACGTAAAGAAACTAAGAACCTTGAAAAAAGGTTTGACAAAATCCTAACGAGAACAGACAATTTAGAGAGGAATACAAGTGAATTAATGGAACTGAAGAACACAATATGAGAACTCCGCGAAGTATGCACAGGTTTTAACACTCAAATTGATCAAGCAGAAGAAAGGATATCAGAGGTCGAAGACCAAGTTAATGAAATGAAACGAGAAGACAAGATTAGAGAAGAAAAAGTAAAAAGGAATGAACGAAGTCTCGAAGAAATATGGGAATATGTGGAAAGACCTAATTTATGTTTGATAGGTGTACCTGAATGTCATGAAGAGAATGAATCCAAGCTGGAAAATATTCTTCGGGATACTATTCAGGAAAACTTTCCTAACCTAGTAAGACAGGACAATACTCAACTCCAGGCAATACAGAGAACACCACAAAGATATTCCTCAAGAAGAGCAACCCCAAGACACATAATTGTTAGATTCACCAGGGTTGAAATAAAGGAGAAAATTCTAAGGGCAGCTAGAGAGAAAGGTCAGGTTACCCATAAAGGGCAGCCTATCAGACTCACAGCAGATCTCTCAGCAGAAACCCTACAAACTAGAAGAGTGGGGGTCAATATTCAATAACCTCAAAGAAAAGAATTTTCAACCCAGAATCTCATATCCAGCCAAACTAAGCTTTATAAATGAAAGAAAAATGAAATTTTTCGCGAACAAGCAAGCACTCGGAGATTTCATCACCACCAGGCCTGCTTTACAAGAGCTTCTGAAAGAAGCACTACACACAGAAATGAAAAACCAGTATCAGTCATCCCAAAAACTTACCAAAAGGTAAAGAGTATCTTCATAATGAAGAATCTATATCAACTAAAGGGCAAAATAGCCAGCTAGCATTAAATGACAATATTAAATTCACAAATATCAATATTAATCCTAAATTTAAATGGATTAAACACCCCAATCAAAGACACAGACACGCAAATTGAATAAAAAGTCAAAACCCATCGGCATGCTGCATCCAGATCCATCACATAAGCAAGGACACAAAAAGACTCAAACAAAAGGTTGGAGGAAGACTCACCAATCAAATGGAGAGCAAAAAAAAAAAATAATAAAATAAAACAAACAAAATAGGAGTTGTAACTTCCGTCTCTGACAAAATAGGCTTTAATAGTAACAAAGACTAAAAGAAGCAAAGAAGGACATTACATAATGGTAAAAGGCTCAATGTAACAACAAGAGTCAATGATCATAAATATATATGCACCCAATATAGGAGCACCCAGATACATGAGACAAGTTCTTAATGACTTATAAAGAGACTTGGACTCCCACACAATAATAGCGGGAGACTTTGACACCACATTGTTCATATTCGACGGATCAACGAGACAGAAAATTAACAGGGACATTTATGATTTGAACTCAGACCTGGAACAAGTAAACTCAGTGAATATTTATAGAATTCTTCACCCCAGGTCCACAGAACATACATTTTTTTCAGTATCACATTCCACCTATTTTAATAGGTGTAATGTGATACTGAAAAAGGGACCACATAAATGGAAGTAAATCACTCTTCAGCATTTGCATAGCATTTCACAGATTTAAATGAAAAAAAAAATGCAAGCCAAAACCATAACGTCATACCACTTCACACCTCTTAGGATGGCTATACTTTAGAAAAAAATAAAAGGAAAACCAGTGTTGACATGGATGTAGAAGAGTTAGAACCCCCAGGCTGGGCGTGGTGGCTCACGCCTGTAATCCCAGCACTTTGGGAGGCTGAGGTAGTCAGGAGATTGAGACCAACCTGGCCAACATGGTGAAACCCTGTCTCTACTAAAAATACAAAAATTAGCTGGATATGGTGGCACGCACCTGTAATCCCAGCTACTCAGGAGGCTGAAGCAGGGTAATCGCTTGAACCTGGTAGGCGAAGATTGCAGTGAGCTAAGATTGTGCCACTGCACTCCAGCCTGGGCAACAGAGTGAAACTCTGTCTCAGAAAAAAAAAAAAAAGAACCCCCAAACATTGCTGGTAAGAATTAAAATGGTGCAGCCACTATGGAAAGATTTAGTAGTTCCTCAAAATGCAACCTAGAATGAGTTTAAATTCCACTCCTAGGTATATATACAAAAGAACTGAAAATGTGTTCAAAGAAAAACTTAT